TACAGATAGGGCCGCCGGGCAGCCCGGCGACTGGACCCTTGAGTAAACATGATCCCCGTGAGCTCCAGATAGTGCACGGGCATGCTGCTATCTTAAGTTGTTTGTTGTTTATTTGAAATACAAATTTCACTGGGTGTCTTCTACATTGGTTTGCTGAATTTGGCAAGACTACTCACTCACACAAGACATCTAAGATTAATTTATTTCTTGAAAAGGCAGAGTTACAAAAAGAAGGAGCTCTGCCATCCTCTGGCAGAGAGCTGCAAAGACTGAGGCTGCGTTTGGCTAAAGCCAGGAGCGAGGAGCTTCACCTGGGTCTCCCACGTGCAAGGCAGGGGGCCAGCTGCCCCTGTTTTTCCCAGGCACATTAGCAGGGAACTGTCGCTGTCCCGCAGTGATGGACTTGGTGCACAGAGCCGATAATAACATGCATGGACCCTGACTGATGGTCAAAAGCCGAAGTTTATTAGTGGCATCAGACTTTATACACTGAGGGTCATGTGGGATAAGGGAGGAAGTATTGAGCATCAGCAAAGCCCAGTAACAGTGTCTGCTTTTGTTTGGAACGCCTTTTGTCTTGTATATTCCACCAAGTGTTCTCTCACATACTGTCCACTCAGCTGTTCTTATACAAAGGATATCCAATCAGGTATACAAAAGGTGGCCATTCGGTTGTTCTCATGCACATATTATCCAATCAACTGTAATCCTGTGCTCCCTGACCCTCTAGGGTCACAATATCCTCTTACAGGGAGCTGGATGGGAAGTGGAGCAGCCAGGACTGGATCCAGCACCTGTATGGGATGCCAGCATTAAAGCCAGCAGCTTTCCTCACTAGCGCACAGTGCGGCCCCCATCAGAGGACATTTGCTGAGGTCGCTGTGTCGGGATTTGTTCGCAGCTCTCTGAGGGAGAGGACTGCAGGGAGCTGCAAGGAGCTGGGGCGGGTGTTCAGACACAGCGCACTGTCACCAGACATGGCCTAGAGATGGATGCTGCCAGTCTTACAAAACAAAACCCACCAAACACAGGGCTCGCATTGTTGCCCAGTGGGTGAAGCCACCATCTGTGATGCCAGCATTCCAGCAGGCACCAGTTCACGTCCAGTCCAGCTTCCTGCTAATGCCGAGAAGCAGTGGAAGGTGGTGGCCTACCATGCCTCTTTCTCTCTCCTCGCACCCCATAACTTTTTCAAATAAATTATATTTATTATTTCTTTAAAGATGTATTTAGTTTTATTAGAAAGGCAGATATACAGAGAGGAAAATCTTCCGATGGTTCACTCCCCAAGCAGCCATAACGGCTGGAGGTGAGCCAATCTGAAGCCAGGAGCTTCTTCTGGGTCTCCCACATGGGTGCAGGGTCCCAAGGCTTTGGGCCGTCCTCCACTGCTTTCCCAGGACACAAGCAGGGAGCTGGATGGGAAGTGGAGCTGCCGGGACACAAACCAGCGTCCATATGGGATCCCAGCATGTTCAACGCGAGGACTTTACTATGCCAGGAGCCAGGGACTCTGCTTCTCCTGGGAGAGGTGGGGGACAGGGAGGTGGGCAGGGACCAGGAGCATCTGAGCTGCCCCCTAGGGTGCACACCAACGGGGACCTGGGGGAGGCACCGCAGTCAGGACTTGAGCCGGGATTCCAATATGGCATGGGGGCATCTGAACCCATTGTGCCACCACGCCAGCCCTCCTCTTTCTGCTTCTTACCAGTATTTCTTATTTGAGAGACACAGAGTGAGCCCGCCCCCAGGTCACGTCCCGGACACCCACAGTGGCAGGGGTTGGGACCTCTGTTCGTTTCTCCCCTGTGAGTGGCAGGGATCCAAGTACTGGGGCTGTGTCACCTGTGCTTCCCAGAGGCCACGCTCGCTGGAAGCTGGCACCGGGAGCGGGAGGTGTCAAGGTGCCAAGTAGGCACTCTGGGGTGGGACGCAGTCCATCTGTCCGGTCCTGGTCATGAACGTCTCTTCCTGAGTGTTCTATCTCCGTGCTGTCCTATGTGTAAGTGGGATGCCTGTACCCTCCCCACCCCCACACCCCGCTCCATCCACCAGGAGAGGAGTTCCTCCCACCCCCCGCTGAGGGCTGGGCCTCTAGCCCTGCAGAGTCTCTGCCTTCCCACGTCCAGCCATGTTTTCCAGGAATATTAGGTCCACTCTGAGTTAGTGACAACAGCTGTCCCAACAGAGCGATTGGGATGGACCACCAGGGGGTGCTCAGGAGCCAGACTGCAAAAAAGGACTGAGAAGCCTTGCAGGGACCCTGGAAGTTGGAGAAAAGTTCCAGAGGGCCTGGTCTGGTAGCCTGGTGGCTAAGGTCCTCACCTTGTATGCACCAGGATCCCATATGGGTGCTGGTTTGTGTCCCAGCAGCCCCACTTCCCATCCAGCTCCCTGCCTGTGTCCTGGGAAAGCAGTGGAGGACGGCCCAAAGCCTTGGGACCCTGCACCCACATGGGAGACCCGGAAGAGGTTCCTGGCTCCTGATTACCTCAGCTCCGGCTGTTGCAGCCTCTTGGAGGAGTGAATAAGCAGACGGATCTTCCTCTCTCTCTCTCCTGTCTGTGTATCTCCAGTATAAATAAATAAATCTTAAAAAAAAAAAAAAGGAAAAAAGAGAGAGAGAAGTTCTGGAATACCAACCATTCCCCCCCCACTCCAGACCCCAAGCCCAAGCCGAAGAGCTCCACACAGTCTCGGGTTTGCATAGGGGGAGGACTGGGACACGCTGAGTGGCAGGAGAGTGAGGCAGCAGCTGAGCCCAGGGCTTCTGTCCAAGGGTCCTGAAGGGCCTGGAAGAAGGAGACGCCGCGGAGAAGAAAGGGTGCCTGCAGGGACCACGTGTCGGCCCAAGGTCAGCTGCAGTCTGTGCTGGTCTCAGCGGAGGGCCAAGGGCGAGAGCGGCGCGCCCTCTGCTGGCGTCTCTCGGGAGTGCGCCTGCAGGGCCAGGGGATCAGGGACTAGGGAGTGGTTAGGGTCTCCGTGCTGGGGCATGGAGTCAGGTGCCTAGGGGTGCCCGGCAAAGAACGAACTGGAGAAGGCAGGACCCAAGGGGGTCAGAGGAGACCTGTGTGCAGGAGGAGACAGAGAGGCTGAGCTTCCGGAGGGAATGGATAGACAACCTTGGAAATGGCTTGGAAGAGCAATGCTGTGGGGTAGTTAAGCTTAAAGGCGACAACAGCTGAAGTGAATGGTCAGCCAGCTGTGTGCATATCCCCTTCCTCCCCGACTCATGGGCAGCTGAATGTCCCGGAACCCCCGAAGCCCCATCCTGGCCCGTAGGTGAGGATCGGACCCTCAGGACTGCTTTGGCTTTCTGTCCCCTCATGTGCAAGCTGCAGGGGCTGTTCTGTGGCAGGTCAGTGGCATCCGGGTTGTTCTCTGCGTACGCGCAGTCCCGGTCTCCTGTGCTCCGTTAGGCACAGGGAGCATTGCACCTGTGGCCTGCAGGGTGTGGTGACCTCCAGTTTCAGGGGTAGTGAACGCTGCCCAGGTTGTCTGAGCTGGCTGCCCTGTCCCGGAGATCCAAGGGGCTGGGGCTGCAGGCCAGGCGGTGGGATGGGAGCACGTGGCCCCAAGAAGGCTTCCTGGCCGTGCTGGGGTTTGCAGCTGCTAGGACAGTGGCCAGCTGAGCCCTGCTTCTGGGTTTTCTCTGGAAAGAGGTGTGTTTGTGGGGGGGAAGCTGGCCTTCGGCTCCACACATATAGTCATCGGTAGGTTGTGTATGAAGAAGGCAAGAGGGTGCAGCTGCCTCTTAGTGGCTCTCCGGTGTGCACACTGCAAGGCTGCTGCCTCGCTCCTACTGGAGCCTCCCCAGGTTGTTCCCACAGCCAGATTTGGGGAAGGTGGACCCAGTTCTGCTCCCTGCTTGAGGTGACCAAGCCAGCATTACAGCTCTAAGACCCTGAGTCTTAGCCCTGTGTAATCTTTCCCAACTCCAGGGCCTCAGCTGGTGCTGTGAAATCTATCTCGTCCACAGGCTGCCTGGGGCGGGGCTGGGCGTCCTGCTAACCTGCCTGGTGCAGCTCGGGATTGGGATCCAGGGCATGGGGGAGATTAGACATTGCAGAGAACATCACGTGTTCCCCAAGACACCTGCCACCTTCCTGCCAGGTAGGAGGGCTCCCGCACTTGCCACGTCCTCCAGGTGACTGGCTCTGTGGAGCAAGGCAGCTGGGGCTACTGCTTCCCACAGTCTTGGTAAGTGGTACCCCCCCATCCGTGGTCCCCAGCCTTTAGGACCAAGAGCTTCTAGACCAGGGGAACAGGCAGAAGCCATGGTGGTAAAGTCTGCAGCGGGGCAGGGTGAGCTTGTTAAGAACTGTGTGTCTGCAGGCGCCATGGGAGTGCCAGGTGCTCCGTGTGCGCCCCGTGGCTGCGCCTCCCTTCGTTTGCACCCTCTTGCAGTCCCCCGTGCCCTGTTCCTGCCCTCCCACCCCACCCCAGCCAAGTCCTGTGTGTGTGTGCTGTGTGTAAGTGAGGGGGAACTCATGGCCACCCTGATTAAAAGGACTTTTCCCAGCAGCTGCCAGCCACAGCATCTGGACCCCAGGGCAGGGAAGGCTCCCTCCAGAGAGGTACAACCCCATGAATGGCGGCATGGGGCCAGGGCGTCTCAGTCGCATTAGAAGTGGGCCAAGGGAGTTCGGGCGCCTTCCCTCCTTGGGGGAAACAGTTGCACTGGGGGTCCCCCAACTCTGTTGAGCCCTGCCCATCTCCCCCCACGGGTCCCCAGGGCTCACCCAGAAGGCAGTGGGACCAGAGCCTCAGGGTTTGGAAGGGCTGTCCCACACTCACATCCCTCCAGGATGCAAAGTGGGTGAGGGAGCCTAGGGTTTGCAGCTTCCAGTAGCTTCCCTGGGGCACAAGCACCTGGGAAGGACCGCCTACCAGCTCCAACTCCCAGAGATTGGATGCACTGCTTCATCAGAAATGGGAACTTGTCCCCTGATCCTGGCTGTTCCGACAGGTACTGGAGGTCAGTGTTGCAGCCAGGGTACCCCAGGGAGGCAGCAGCCACCAGGATGTCCATGCTCAGCATCTACCCCCAGAGACCCGAGGCCCTGCGCTCACCCTCCCGGGCCACCCCCGAATCTCCAGGCTGCCAGCGACGCCACACCCTCCCTGCCAGTGAGTTCCGCTGCCTCAGCCCCGAAGATGCGGTCAGCGTGTTTGAGATCGAGCGCGAAGGTGGGCAGCCCTGCTCTGGCCCAGTGGTCCCTGGGAGGAGACCCTCGAGGGCCCCAGGGGCTCAGCCCCCAAGTGTGGATTCAGGAAGGGGGGAGCAGCAGCCCTGATTGCTGGGGATGGGGGGGTGATTTGCAGGTGAACATTTGGTGGGCCCAGGCAGCCCAGTGACCACCCACACCTGCCCCTCCCCTCCCCCGCAGCGTTCATCTCTGTGTCAGGCAGCTGCCCCCTGTTCCTGGACGAGATCCGGCACTTCCTGACCCTGTGTCCAGAACTGTCTCTGGGTTGGTTCCAGGAGGGCCGCCTGGTGGCTTTCATCATCGGCTCGCTCTGGGACAAGGAGAGACTCACGCAGGTGAGGGCAGGGTTCCACAGGAAGCGAACCAGGGAAGGGGTGGTGGTGGTGTGTTCCTCCCTCGGAATGGAGGAGTTCCAGTCCCAGGCCTCTCCCAACCCAGCCTCTTTGGGAGCCCCCACCGGAGGCAGCCTGGGCCATCTGCTCTTGGCCGGGCTGAGTGGCCCGGGAGAGCAGGTGTCAGCAGAGGCCCACCCCTGCAGGAGTCACTGACGCTGCACAGGCCCGGAGGCCGCATGGCACACCTGCACGTGTTGGCCGTGCACCGCGCCTGCCGGCAGCAGGGCAAGGGCTCGGTGCTGCTGTGGCGTTACCTGCAGCACCTGGGCCGCCAGCCGGCTGTGCGCCGGGCTGTGCTCATGTGTGAGGACGGCCTGGTGCCCTTCTATGAGAGGTTTGGTTTCCGTGCCGTGGGCCCGTGTGCGGTCACCGTGGGCTCCCTCGCCTTTACCGAGCTCCAGTGCTCTGTGCGGGGCCATGCCCGCCTGCGCAGGAATAGCGGCTGCTGAGCAGGGAGGGGCCCTGCCCTGCCCGGCTGAGTGTGGCGGCACTCCCCAGCCTCAGGAGAGGGGAAGGGTCCCTAACCAAGGCGCGGCTCCCCGCTGCTGGGCTGCCCCTCTCCTACCAGCCTCATGACCACGCCGTCCTCATTGCCCTTGGCCCTGGTCTTAGGGTGCAGGACTGGGGGTAGCGAGTGTTTGGTTGGGCACCTATTCCTAGCCCACAGCGCCCCACATGTCCCCCAACTCCTGTCTTTCCCAGCAGTCCCTTTGGCCTTGCCCTGGCTCCTCATAAATAAAACACCTTTGTCCTCACTATTTCCTCGGTGTGATATGGGGTGAGGAGGGCCGCAGGTGAGGTAGGGGTGCAGCTGGCGGGCAGGCTTCACCTTTGCCCACCTCACAGTGTTTGAGCGAAGGGAGGAGCAGGTGCAAGTGGGAGGACTGGCTGAGGGCAGGGAGAGGAGGAAGGACCCAACCCATCCCTCTCACGTGGCCCAGGCTGGTCTCCGAGAACTCCTGCTTGGTTCCTGCTGTCCTGCAGGCTCCGCTACTTCCACCCCGGAAGTTCCCAGCTTCTGGTTCTAGCCTGAGGTCTCAGGTTAAAAGACATCACTTTCAGAAACCTCATGTCATACGTTAGAGACGTGATCCGTACAAAGTCAGTGTTATTCTTACAAATTAGGACCATGATAGAAACTGGAACAGTAGGCCTGCTCAGATCTCAGCCACACCCCAGTGGAAGCAGGTGTTGGGGTGGCTTCTGCCTGGGCCAGGGTGAGGCCGTGGGGGTGGTTGGGAGTCGGGAGGCTCACACTGGAGCCGATTCCTGAGTCAGAAAACCCTGTGCTCAACAGGGCGAGGGGAAGGGCGGTGCAGACCCCAGCCTCCGTCCACCCAGGACTGGCCGAGGGCCCAGGGTCCTAGCCCAGCGGGGCCCTGCTCTTCTCTGACCCTGGTCTGTAGCCATGGCCTGCCCTGCCCGGGAGCCTTGACGGGTAAGCTCATGAGTCCGTGGAGGGGTACAGGGTGGGCTCACAGAGCACGGGAGGGAGGTGACCAGAAAAGGGGGCTGCCATGGAACTGGTCCTGGGGCAGCTGAGGGGCAGCCGCGGCCCGAGCAAGGGCCTCTCACAGTGATGGCCTCGAGGAGGCACGGGCAGGGGCGGCTGCTGGGTGCCCTGGGAAGAAAAGCAGCGCACTCCCCCGTCTGCGGGGGTCACAGCTGGGTCGCCGAGCCTCGGAGGCCTGGGCACGGCCCTCTAGGGGACCCCTGGATGTCCTTGTCTGTGGCGTGGGGTGCAGAGGGACAGTCAGTGCAGCACCTGGTCCAGCTCATACTTCTCACAGAAGCGGCTGGTGAAGGGCAGGCAGGTGAGGTGCTCGATCCAGGGCCAGTGGATGGGATAGATGTAGAGCCACAGGACCAGCGAGGAGAAGAGGCCGGCGAAGACCAGCAGCGACACCAGGATGAGCGCCCGCTTGCGGTACTTGTCGCTCGTGCCGAAGGTGATGTAGGGCAGGAAGGCGAAGGCCAGCAGCAGGCCGCTGAGGAAGCCGAAGATGTGCGCGATATTGTCCATCCAGGGCAGCAGGCCGCACACGAACAGGAACAGCACGATGGCCGAGAGGTTGAGGAAGGCCTTCCACGGCCGCTCCAGCAGCTGCCAGCTCTGGAAGAGCTCCACGAAGAGGCAGGCCAGCAGGCCAAACTGCGAGCCGGCAGGGCCCACCTGCAGACATGCGGGTCACCTCCAGGGCCGAAGGGCCACAGCCCCGCCTGCCCCATGCAGAGGTGGGCTCCCTGCAGCTCCGCAGATGGACGACAGCGAGCAGCCGCCCACCTCCCGCAGCCGGCCCCGTGTCTGTATCCCAGGGATGTGGTGCCTGTCACACCACACGGCCACACATGGTGGGGAGGGTGGGCCCACAAGGACTGAGGGCAGGTAGGTGCAATCCCTGCGGTGGACAATGTCACAGACAGGTGACAGGTAGGGAGGGTCACAGAGGAGGGGTGTGAAGGCTTCCCTGCGGGGTGACGTCTGAGCAAGGCGGGGGTGGGCCGGGGCCCCTGGTGACTCAACAGCCCGTGACAGTGGCAGGAGATTAAGGACTGGGCAATAAGCCGGGGCTTAGCCACCCACCTGCTGCTGAGCCTGGCTCAGAAGGGGCCCGTGGCCCCTATTCCCAGATGGAAGTGGGGCTGGGATGGAGGTGGGGGAGGGCAGCGGAGCAGGCTGCCCCCTCTACACCAGGTGCCACATGGAGTTTTAGGCCTCGAGGGTCCTACCTCTGCCCGATACGGGAGGAAGATGGCACTGGCGAGGTTGCCCGTGATGCCACTGAGGATGAAGATGATGGAGATGCGGTGCCAGCCAGCCAACTTCTCCAGGTCGCGCAGGATGGTCATTTGGAAGACCACAGACACCAGGCAGTGCACCACGCTGGGGGCAGGACACACTGGGCATCAGGCTTCCCACACCTGCTCCTGGCCGCCAGGAGGCGCAGGGTCTGACAGGCGGTGGGATGGGGTGGCCCCCGAGCCGGAGCCTCACCCAGCATGCAGGAACAGTGAGAGCCAGAGCCGGTAGAACTGATCAGGGACCTCGGGGTTCAGGAAGGGCAGCAGCCCGCACACCTTGTCCAGGCAGTGCACCTGTGGGTGGTGGGGTGGGTTGGTCAGGCTCCCGGGAGGGAGGTGCGGGTGGGTCGTGTGACACTGCCCCTCGTCCTTGCCCGGCCTCTCCTTACCTGGGAACAGAGTGTCGCCTCCTCGTGGAAGTAGCCGTGCATGAACTCACAGTATTCCCGGGTGGTGATCTCACAGCTGGGCGGGACAGGGGGAAGGGGAGGTGAGAGGCCACGGCAAGGTCCAAGGTGTCCCCTAGCCTACAACTCAGAGCCTGGATGCCCAGCAAGGGAGGCAGAGGGGACGGAGGGGAGAAGGGAGGGGCAGAGGACGGCCTGCAGGAGGCTGCTGCCCAGGGAGGGGCGTGGCCAGCCTACCTGCCCTTGGTGCCGATGCAGCAGGGGCGGCCCTTGATCTCACAGTCCATGTGCAGGAAGCTGGTGTGGTTGCTCCGGGCCTGCTCTGTGCAGATCTGCAGTGATGGGAGAGGAAGTACCTGAGTGGGGTCCCGCTTCAGCTGTCACAGATGCCCCCTGCCCTGCCCAAGGGCGTTTCCTCACCGGCCACTTGGTGATGTCATCAGGCCAGATGTGGGCACCACTGGAGGCTGGTTCCTCACAGGTCCTGCGTGCAGAGGCCAGAGTGGGCAAGATGAGGTGCCATCGTACCCACAGCCTGCTATGTCCCCCCTGCCCCGTCTCACTACCCTGGGGGACTGGGGCCACATGAGCCCCATGCCAAGCAGTTCCACCTGGGGTCCTGGTGGCACACAGCGCCTGATGTCCGCTTCTGGTGTGGATCAGACTCATCCAGGACGGGCCCTGCACCTTCTGGCCACTTGATAAAAGTGGCTAAGGTCTCCTGGAGGGAGGATGGGGGAGTTGGTCACACGGGGACAAGGCAGTGGTCTAGCTGACTGTGGATATTTGTGGGTCTGGGAGCGGGTGTGGCACCACAGTGGAGGGGGATGGGGAAAGGCCCAGCCCCCGAGGCCCACCGAGCAGTCCTTCCGCAGGGTCTGGATGCAGCCAGAGTGGTCATTCTGGACACAGCAGCCTGAGTCCCGCTCCAGGTCGCGCTCTCGCCGCACCAGCTGCTCGATCTGCTGGTCCTTTCGGATGCAGGGCGAGAACTTGGCGCCCAGGTGGATGAGGTCAATCTGGGCAGAGAAGCCAGAGCTCAGGGGTACTGTACCCCACCTCGCTCCCCAGGGGAGATAAGGAGCGCCTTGTGCTGTGCTCAGGCCTAGAGCACAGGGGTAATGCACCCCACCTCGCTCCCCAGGGCAGATGAGAAGTGCTGTGAGCTCAGGCCTAGAGCACAGGGGTACCGTACCCCACCTCGCTCCCCAGGGCAGACGAGGAGTGCTGTGAGCTCAGGCCTAGAGCACAGGGGTACCGTACCCCACCTCTCTCCCAGGGCAGGACGACCAGGCGCAGTGGCTCCCCCAGCCCAACCCTCACCGAGCTGGGGCCGATCCAGAAGTTCTCCTGCTGGATGTACTTGACGCTCTCATACACACCCTTGTTCCGTAGCACCTGTGCACGGGTGGGGCAAGGGTGGGGCAAGGGTGGGTCAGAGGCTCAGGCTGTGGGCATGGGGGTGGGGGGCTGGCGAGCCCGTAGTCCCTGGCCTGGGGCCAGGTTGCTGTCACCCTCGGGCTGGTAGCCTCCTGGTAGGGAGCGCCCCACTCACCAGCTGGGTGGTGACATGCTGGGCGAAGCCCACGGGCGCAATGCCGTATGTGCAGATCACCAGCAGCGTGATGATGATGTGGACGAAGGTCAGCCAGTAGGTGAAGTAGGGCCTGCGAAGGGGCCAGGGTGGTGCAGCTGTGCTCAGCGCTGGCCTAGGCTCCCTGCCCCACCCAGCCACCCCAAGAGGCGCCTCCCACGGCCATTTCAGACCTGGGGGTGAAGGCCCAAGTCTCCTTCCTCTCAGTGGCCGCACTGGGCTGTCCCACCCCCTCTGGCCTCTTTCCCCTTTCTCTTGTGGTTCGTGGCCCGCAGCTGCAGCCCCAGGACATTGCACGGGATTGCATCCATCACGGGGGGGGCTTTCCCTTTCCTCCTGACTTCCTCCACTCCATCCCTGCCTGCAGATGCTCAGGACACCTGCCACACTGCTTGACTTGTTTTGTGGTGTGGGTCTGTCTGCGGAGGTAGCACCAGCGGTGAGACCCACCCCTCCTCAGAGACCCAGCTTTCAGCAATGTGTTTTAGAGGCAGCGTGACAAGAAAGACAGGCAGACAACTCCACCCCTTGGTTCGCTCTTCAAATGCCCACTGTAGCTGGGCCAAGACCAAGTCAGGAGCCAGGAACCCAGTGTGGGAGAGTAACAGCCCGTGGCCTGTTACTTCACAGGCACGCACTGGCCGTC